GACCATCCATTCCTGTGCAAAGCAAGTATATTTCTCTCTACACCATCTCTAGGACGAACAAATTAGCTTTCTAAACAACTACTACTGTCAAGCTAATCAAAACTCACAGTATTTTTCTGCATGGTTTATTTCAGCACCAAATAAACCTAAGGGTCCTCTACTCCAAGCATCAGGCTTTGGAATTCCTCCCTGCCATTCTCAGCCTACCACCTTAACAATCATATACTTGGTCCACTCCTCCTGGCATAATAATATTTATTCTCAATTAGCGAATCTTACCAACTCACTCGTACTTGCTGACCCCATTCCGAAATCAAAGTTCTGTAATGCCAAATCCTGAAGTTGTGGTTTCAGTTCTGAAACTGAACAAAACATACAATTCAAGCACTTGTCAAAAATGTAGCAAAATGATGCCATATAGTTAAGAGTACATCTCTGTGGTTCTCAAAGCCCAAAGAGTCCCACACTAAAGAAAAGATTTGGATAGTAGAAAACTGTGAGGATTTTGGCAATTCTACACTAGGTTTTGTTTTTGAGCAGACCTGGTAATATTCGGGGAACCAGGTTATTGAACAAATTATTGAACAGGTCACTTTCGGGCAAGGCAGTCCCTGCTGTACTATCATTCAGATCCAAACTAGCTCTATTATGGTATACTTATTCGAAAGCCATGGAAGCAAATTACAGGATCATTCTGTGACTGACAGTCCAGGGGAATAAGAGCAGTGTGAGTGCGGCACAGACCCAAGGATCCAGGAGACCAAGGTCCCGTTCTCAGCTGCGTGTTTCATACATGCTCAGGGCACCCATACACTGCACAGGGCCTGAGCCAGGAAGGGTCCTCAGATACTCACCCGCACACACGCCTCTCTTCCCCGACCTCAGGGCTCCTCCTTCCATCCAGGAGATAACCGCAGGCTTCCTCCCAGAGTACCCTGCCCCGATAGAGACAGAGGCTTGGATAAATGACATGGAAAAGGTGACAGGTAAATCTCCATGTTTTCCTGATATAACTGGGCAAATGTCTGAAAGGCATGAACAGAATGTCCATTTCCAAAATGCCATATATTTCTAGTTATTCGAGAGGTAAGACGCAAGAAAATTCCACTAATACTCTAGACCGGGCCTTCTGGATGGCCGACACTGGGTTGATCAGCACATTATGTTGTTGGTTTTTGTCTTTTTGGGGTCTCCCTTGGCAATTCTCCGGGGTGACTCCTGACTCTCTATTCAGAAATCACCGCTGGTGGAGCTCGGGAATGACATGGGAAGCCGGGGATTTAACCCACGTGCGCTGCTTGCAAGAAAATCACTTTCCTCCTTGTACTGTCTCTCTAGGAACAGCAGCATATGGAGTTTCCTGAGACCCTCATGAACTCGTCACGGATTTCAGTTAAACTAAGTGCATAATAAATCTGGAAATGGCCAAGGGTGGCAAGAGACCCTTATTTTTTTAAGCTGAAAAATGTATCAGAAACAGAGCACAGCAGGAGTTTCTCACGGCCAATCCAGTTGTGATACCCGATATCATCTAGGGTCCCTCATGGCAGCCAGGATTGTTCCCTGAGTGCAGAGTCCAGGAGCAAATCCCAAGTCCTGCTGAAGTCTCAAAAGAACCATTAGAAGTAAATCCAAGGACTGAAATAGGGCAGCGTCTAATGAGTTGAGAGACGAGATATCAAATCCCCTGTGGTGGGAGAGATAGTACAGCACATAGGACAGAAGCACTGCACACACATATGAGTTTGATCCCAGGCAGCCCATATGATCTTGGAGCAAGACCAGATGTGGATCCTGAATGCACAGGCAGGAATAATACCTAATCCCTAAGGAAAAAAGAAAATGCAAAAACAATCTGACTTGAGTGACTGGTGTAAAAGTATTGGGGGTGAGGCACCAACATTTTAAGTTGCCAAGAGGTTTCAGTCCATGGTACCCCATGGCCCCTGAGACTCTTAGGAGTCATTCTTTAGCACAGAGACAGGAGAACTGTGGACTGTGCCCCCAAACACAGGCAACAGCAAAACCAATTAAATACACAAAAGTTCGTGTAGTACACAAAGTAAATTGATGCATAAATGGATGGAACTATTTAAAGGGAACTGAGCGATAACTGGGCAGATAGGGATCTTCCCATGGACATAGTTGAAACGGGTTGATATGAATCACCCCATAGGATCTGTCGACCCCACAAATGTAATTCCTGAGGACAAGGCTGAATGTAAGCCCTGAGTATCCACAGGTGAACCCTAAAAAAAAAAAAAAAAAGAGGGAGGGAACAGCTACTGCACGGCTGTCCAACATCACAGCCCGTCACAGAGATACTGTTGGAAACACAGCTGCCCCCATCCCAAGGGAGCCCACAAGGGTCTGTTCAGACACGGTTGGTTCCACACTGCTCTCACCAACAGCCTGCAGATGCTGGTAGGTCTCCAGCATCACGTCCCTGTAGAGCTTCCGCTGAGAGGCCTCCAGGCATGACCATTCCTCCGGGGTGAAGTTCACAGCCACGTCATGGAAGGTCACTGTGTCCTGAGTCAGCACACGGAGAGGTTGGGAGTCAGAGTCTATCTTAGCCTCATTCCCACTACTGTGAAGCCAGGACCCAGGGTCCTATATTGTCGCTGGGCCTCTCCGCTCCGAATGAACCAGCCTCCATGCACACACATGACTGACGGACACCAGAAATGACATAAAACAGCTGAATCTGCTAAAGTGGGAGGACGTTATACAGAAGGTTCTTGGATGTATCTGACTTTCCTGGTAACCCCAGGGCTAATTCGAGCACCACTGGTACAGTGAGCACTGTAGAGAGGATCACCTGAACACAGACTTGTACGGTCCAAAAGTCTAACGCTGGGTGTCACAAAAATCACTGTACGCTCACTGCTGCACCCCCAGAACTCATGACCAGTAGGATTGAGAACTTGGCAGTCCATATAGACAACTATTCAGAGCAGTGCATGACATATGTGCCTGTAGGAACTCACTGCTCAGGACCACCACAAATCCCGCTCAAAGAAGGTAGAGAAGTTTCTGGACCCCAAAATCGCCACTGGCCTCAGAGATCCTTGGCTCTTTCTCCTTGGGATTGGCACATGCCCAGAAATCCAAACACAAGATTATGTGAACGTAAGACTATATAACTGAGCAGGTAGTCTCTCCAATGCAGGAAGGAAAAAAACAGGAGAAAAGCAAGTCTGGGGGCCCAAGTCACTGTAGTTGCCAGGGCGCAAACGGGGCCAGCACACCCCAGGGTGCTCTGAGGCCAGTAAGTTTTGAATCCAGAGCCCAGAGTCAAGAGGACAGCTCATGACAAAAACAATGCAAAAGAAACCGAAGCAGCAGGTTGGCATAACAGGATAGCTGTTCCCGGGACAGCATGTAGGACTGGCGATCCCCTACATCCCATATGGTCCCACAAACACTGCCAGGGACAATGCCAGAGTGCAGCGCAAGGAATGATTGTAAGAATCCTTGCTCTGCCACCCCAAATAAAACAGAAAACCCAAGATGAAACCTTTGGACCTCCAGCATCACATTGGACACCTAGACCTGTCAGGAATGAACATTGAGCACTGAGCTTTGAGTACTCCTCATGCACCACTGGGTCAGCCCCAAAGCCAAATAAAACAAAACAAACATACACAAAAGCAGCTTCAAACAGCAGAATGGGACGGTCCGATCGGAAGTCTCATCTTGGAATCCGTCCAAAAGAAACTCAAAACAGGTGGCCCAGGAAGCCTGGGCATTCTTGGAACTACCTCATGTCATTCTATTCTTCTACTCCTACCTGGGGACGGTTTATCAGAAGCCGAATCACCATCTTCTCCTGTCACTGTTGTTCTGAGGATCAGCAGGAGGCTCCGTGCAAAGACCTGGAAAGTCAGAACAGTGAGCACCAGAGAGGAGCACCTCCTCCCACTCCTAAGCTCAGACCAGTCACACCCTCCCGCACAGCCTTACAATTCCACCTCTGGGAGACAATGGCAGAAGCTCCTGTTTCCACTGGGGATGCAAATTTTGTTGGCATCTGTGCTGCACTTCAGGAGAGGAACCTGGGCCCAGGCTACAGGGGAGGAAAAGACAGCCTTCTCCAATCCCTGGATTCCTTCGTGGCTCCCACAGGAAAGTCCCTATAGGCCCTGCCAGGGGTCGACTCTCAGCCCAGGATCTCCCAAATAGGCTGGCAGCAGTGCTGCCCCCTGCGAACCATAGCCTGGAATGTGGCTCCACCATGTTATTTAGAGTAAACAAACCTTCAACACTCTCTTGCAGGGTGAACAAGGATATGCCCCTGGGCACTCTGTCCTGGGGACCTCAGTATTCTCCACAAATGCAGGTGTCGTCTGCTCAGGGAGAGATGAAGAGTCAGGGGTGCTTTGCAGCTTGATGTTAGGGAGCTGAAATTCATGAACCAGAAAAAGATACGCTGGTATTGTGGTTAGAAGGCAATAATGTGAGTTGGGTGCTTGACTAGATGAACCCATCAATCCTCTGCATCCCATATGGCCCCCAGCAGAGCCAGGAATAATACCTGAGCTTAGAGACTCGAGTAAGTCATTAGCATCTCTGTTTATGTGCCCTCTCCCCCCAAAAAATCTAAAGAATCAAAAATAGCCCCCCAAATACATTTTCATTGGCAAATTGCAGCCAACAGCAAGTCCCCTTCCCCCACCCCCGCCTGACCCGGGCTCTCACGGCAGACAATGAAAATGACCAGCAACAGGTCTCCTGCCATTAGGTGGAGGGGCTGAAGCTCTGCCCCTCAAATCTGGAGATTCTACAGAAGCGAGGTTAGAGCTGATGGTTCAAACATGGGACTGTAGAGAGGGTTGGGATGGCCAAGCCCCTGGCTGAGTCCCACATTCACCCACTGTTGCCTCATCCTGAGCTGGAGACGATTGTGGCCAAAGAGGCTCCCCAGGATCACACACTCACAATTGTGACCTCTGCACCCTGATACAGCCCCCACTGCACCTCCAAAGCTCTGAATTCCTTCACAGCCTCCACCGCACCTCAGAATTCACCTGGATGTCAGGGAACAACTGAAAAAACAGCACAAAAATGCCCCCCATCTGGCTCAGCTCCTCCGCTAACAGTGTGGAGAGGGGAAGGAGTGGGGTGCTCACAGGAGGCTACTCGTATCCTGCCACAAAATACGCCTTCAGAGTCCCCTTTACAGGATGGGATACAAATTTACTTGTCCTTTGCTATGTGAGCAAAAGCCCCAGTGTCTGTGTCAGGGATGGAAAAAGAACCACGACACACTTATGACATCACTTTGGTTTCCATAAGGTGCCTTAAAGAGCCAGAGTCTAGGCACTGAGAACCTTTTTGCCACGTAGGTGAATCTGTGCTTCAAGGGGGATGGACTCGAATAAAGGAGTGGAGAGGCAAATGCTGGACTGGTCCATCACGCACTGGGGGCCTGGGGGTAAGGAGAAGATCCTGCATTGTCAACTAACATCAAACCTGATCCTGATCCTGCATTATCACCAATTGAACCAATTATACCTAAACACATGTTACCCTGACTCTTTTCAAATGATCCCTGAGCTCAGAGACAAGAGTAAACACTGAGCACTGTAGGCTGTGGTGAAAAATATAACAAGAAAAAAATCAAAGTCTACGTAAGGTGGGGGGGAATGATGTACAAAGACGAATTCGAGAGTGAAACAATAAAAGAGTCAAATTTCTGGTCCTTAAAAATCCCCTATTCTTGGGGCTGGAGAGATAGTACAGCGGGTAGGGCTTTTGCCTTGCACGCCACGAACCCGGGTTCGATTCCCAGCATCCCATATGGTCCCCTGAGCATTGCCAGGAGTAACTCCTGCGTGCAAAGCCAGGAGTGATCCCTGTGCATCGCCAGCTGTGATCCAAAAAAGAAAAAAAATCCCCTATTTTTGATCTTGGGTTCATTTCCCAGCATCCCATACGTTCCCCTGAGCACCGTCAGGAGTGATTTCTGAGTGCAGAGCCAGAAGTAACCCCTGAGCATCGCTGGGTATCGCTCAAAAACAAACCAAAGAGAGGGCTAGAGTGATAGCACAGCAGGGAGGGTGTTTGCCTTGCACGCGGCCGACCCGAGTCCAATCCCGAGCATCCCATAGGGTCCCCCAAGCCCTACCAGGAGTGATTCCTGAGTGCAGCGCCAGGAGTAACCCCTGTGCATCGTGGGTGTGACCTAAAAAGCAAAGAGAGAGAGAGAGAGAGAGAGAGAGAGAGAGAGAGAGAGAGAGAGAGAGAGAGATCGCACTGACCTCAGCAGTCAGGGGCCGCCAAACTGCGCAGGGAGGGCATTTGCCTTGCACACCGTCAACCCAAGTTCGACCCCGAGCATCCCATACGGACCCCTGAGCAAGGCCAAGAGTAATTCCTGAGTACAGAGCCAGGAGGAACCCCTGAGCATCACCGGATGTGACCAAGAAAAGGCCAAACAAAACCTGGGAAAGGGAGCCCCACCTGGCTGTGTTCAGGATTTATTCCTGACTCTGCACTCAGGGATCACTCCTGGTAGGGCCTGGGCTGCGTGTAGGGCAAACGCCCTCCCCACTGTGCTATCGCTCCAGCACCACGATCTCTGCTTCCACATTCTTTCCTGGGCCGCCTTCCGAATGGCAGGACTGTTTCGTTTTTATTTTTTTGTTTTATTAATTTTGCTTTTTGGGTCACACCCAGCGATGCTCAGGGGTTCCTCCTGGCTCTGCACTCAGGAGTTACTCCTGGCGGCGCTCAGGGGACCCTATGGGATGCTGGGAATCGAACCCGGGTTGGCCGCGTGCAAGGCAAATGCCCCACCCGCTGTGCTATCGCTCCAGCCCCACTGTTTCATTTTTAAAGGTGTGGCAGCAAATCGAGGTAGATGGGGGCCTCTCAGCTCCTTTTGCTGAAGTGGATAATGGTATTTTTTTCTTGACAAAGGAGGTGCCCAGGTGCCTTTCAGGTACCAATTACTAACGTGTAATTGGACTTAATGATCTTTACTCCGGGATGAATCAGAAGCAAATGGTGTCACCCAGAGAGACAGTGGCTTTACTGATGCTGGCTGAGCCCCCGCACCCTCCTCGACTTGAAATAGTTTCACTGTATTTTTGTTGTAGTTGTGTTTCTTTTTTTTTTTTTTTGGTCACACCCAGCGATGCTCAAGGCTGACTCCTGGCTCTGCACTCAGGAATTACTCCTGCGGTGGTCAGAGACCCTATGGGATGCCAGGGATTGAATCCGGGTCGGCCGCGTGCAGGGAAAACCCCTTACCCGCTGGACTATCGCTCTGGCCCCTAGCTTCACTGTGTGTTTGCATGAAGAATAACCCTCTCGTTGATTAACTGTGATGTTTTCATTTCTGGTCTCATTGGACTGTGGCCTGGTCTTGAGCCCCAAGAGAAGCCTGTGTTGTGCCATCTTTCCTTGGAGTTCACTGACTTTGGGCAACCCAAAGTGAATTAATTCCTTTTCTGGTCTTCCATCTTTTTTTTTTGTGGGTTTGTTTGTTTTGGCTACATCCAGAAGTGCTCAGGGCTGACTCCTAACTCTGCGCTAAGTAGTCACTCCTGGGTGTGCTCAGGGACCTCCTGGGATGTTGGGGGATCAAACCTCAGTTGGTCGCATGCAGGACAAGCGCCTTAACCACTGTACTATCTCTCTGGCCCCTATTTGTTTTTAGCTGTTTGTTTTCATAATCTCCCAGGCTGATAGGAAATTTCAACCCTTCAGTCACATTCCAGAGATAAGTGATGACTCTCTCCTAATGCTTACAGTTAAGTCCCAGAGCTTCTCCTGACTTGGGGATGCTTACTTTCCCATTCGCTAGTTGCCCTGCAATCTGTTCTCTAAAATCGAACAAACTTCCCCTGTTCATCCCTCCCCATCTTTTAGATTCAACTATTTATTTTGTTTTTTAGTCACACCCGACGGTTCCCAGGACTTACTCCTGGGTCTGCACTCAGGAATCACTCCTGGCGGTGCTCGGGGAACCCTATGGGATCCCAGAGATCAAACCCGGATCGGCTGTATGCAAGGCAAACACCCTCCCTGCTGAACTATCACTCTGGCCCCATGCTGGACTTCTTAAAAATATTATTTTTTAAGTTTGTTCGCAATGATTTATTACTATAAAATCCAGCTCCCGGAAGTGCGTGGCAGCATTTGCGGTCATGCAACACCTCATTATCTCATTCTTACTTTGGACAAAATGGTAGGCTACCGAATGTAACCTGCCCACATGGCAGAGTTTGGCAAACTTCCCGTGGCGTACCCAATATGCCAAATACCAGTAACAATGATGAGTCTCAGTCTCCTAACACTGGAAGAGCTTTTAATATGGCACTTTTTAATAAATCTCAGGGCTAGGACGAAGAAGATGTTACTGGGGCCTGCTCGAAGCAATCGATGAACAACAGGATGGTCGTGATCGTGATCGTGATTTTTGCTCTATCCCTGCTACAGAAACTCACAGTTTCTCCTGAATCCCTATTGTTTTTTCAGCATTGTTTGTGCATATATATGTGTATATATAAGTGTGGCTTTGTGTGATTTTTGTTTTGGGGCCACAACCGGCAGATTCAGGGCTTACTCCTAGCTCTACACGCAGGAATCACTCTGGTACAGACCATATGGGATGCAGGGGATAGAACCTGGGTCGATTGTTTGGAGGGTTACGTCCTTACTGTACTATGTCTCCGGCCGTAAGTAAATGTGCTTGTAGCACACCCAGTGGGATTCCTGAGCAAATGTCCTGACACCTGGAAAACCAAAACTTTCTTGCTTAAAAAAACAAAACCCTTTAGCTTGGTTGGATTCTAGTTCTAAACAATTTAGGTTTAACATTGGTTCATCATTTCTCCTCTGCTACAAGGAGCTTAGACTTACTGAGTAACACCCATCCCAATCACTCCCATTTCCTTAGTATTCATCTTTAACTTCCCTGTACTCTGCTTCCACTATAAGTTAATCATTTCCCAGAAAAACAACCTGTGAATTGTAAAGTCAGATTCTTCAGAGATCTCTGGATTTTGTATTTGGAAGTCAAATTTTGACTTTCTCTTTCCTTTATATCCTGTACAGTTTACTTTAGACAAATATCCTTTTTTGCTCCTGGACAAGGACCAGTGCAGTCCCATGTTGGGAGGATTGTGCTGTGAGGATTGGGATGTCCATACCCCCAGCCCTCAGCTTTGTATAGACAAAGGAAGGCAATATTATGCTTTTGTAACTTCAGAGTTAATTGACAGCAGATACTATATACTCCTGGGCATTGTAATGTTTTTGAGACTTAAGCCTCAGCTGTCCTTTGTTCTTAGCAGTCTAAAAGCAAGAGATTGGATGGACCCAGGATAGCTGTGAGATACTCTCGCATCAAAAAGGGACAGGTGAGCACCATAACATAGGAGTGACTGATCATTTACGCAGATAAACATTTGTGAGAGGAAATTCTCATGGGGAGATTCACACAGGGATACACTCTACGTTGCTTTTATCTTTTCCTCTAGTTGTAAAAGTTATCAAAACTTGTAGTTTGGATAAATACAGTAAGAGACAAAGATTCCAAAACTTAGTTCTCTGGGCTTTGACAGCAAATAAGGTGTTTTTTTTTTGCTTTTTTGGGTCACACCCGGTGACACAAGGGGTTACTCCTGGCTCTGTACTCAGGAGTTACATCTGGCGTTGTTCAGGGTACCATATGGGATGCTGGGAATCGAACCCGCCTGCAAGGCAAACACCCTACCCACTGTGCTATCTCCCCAGCCCCCAGAGCAAATAAGGCTTTTAACACTTACTACTCTGGGTTCTGAGACCAAGCAAGGCTTTTACTGTAAAACCCAGAATAAGTCTTCAGGCCAGTTCACCTTGTCCTTCCCCATGGGGATCTGTCTCTAGAGTTGTAACAGTTTGCATCAAGACCATGAACACGTGCTTTCTAGAATGTGCCATTTCGAAGCTGTGGTAGTTTTGCCATTTGCTCCGGGTCCATACAAGTTCCACGGCAGAACCTCCCTGTTGGTGTGTTAGGTAAAGGTAAAGGTAAAGGCCCTCCTGTTGATCGTCAATATGCTCGAGCGGGCCCAGTAACGTCTCCATTGGAGACTTTGTTGT